GCCTTCTCGTAGTAGCCTTTCTGCAGCTCTCGCGAAGCTGCTTGCTCTGGTGCATCGGGGGTTGGTACCGCGTGCTCCACCACCTCTTCGTCCTCTCCCGTTCCCATGTCGTCCGCGGCGGCTCCTGCCGCGTCCTACGCGGATTCCCCACGTTGCTCTCCCTCCCGCAGCTCTCGCGCGCCCTGTTTGGGGCGCGGCGTCAACACCGTCCTCCCTTGGTTGGCGCGCTGGCGTCGGTGGCGGTAGTGTCGGGGGTGATGGACCCATCCGCGGGACGTGATCCAGAGCTGGAGGGTTCTGCGGAGAGCGCACAACCGGAGCCCGAGCCTGCCGGTCTTCGTCCGCATTTCTCCGCGCGCCCCTCTGCAAGTGAGCCCGTCCGCCGCTTCGAGTGCGGGCTGACTCTTCCTCTTCGGCCTGCCTCGCGGCCCACCTTGCCGGAGTACTCGTGGGCTCTTGCGCGTGTTGCGTCAAACCGCCCTGCTGGTCAGCCGCGTCAGGTGCACGGGCGCTCGCCGCCTCGTCAGCCTCCGCGGCAGCAATCTACTTGGCGCCCTTCTCCTGAGCATCGCGAGCTTCACCGACGCAGGGAGGGCGATCAGCAGTCCCCTGCGCGCCCTCGCTCTCCTCGGCACCAATCTCCCCGTGGTCGACCAGCCCAGCGTTCAGAGCGAGCGCGATCCCCCGCTCAGCGCTCTCCGCGGCGATCATCGGTGAGGCGGGGCAGGGGGTCGCCTGGACGACACTAGGACTCTGGACGCCGCGAGCTGTCTCCGCCGCGTCCGCAATCTGCAGGGTCTGGCGGCCGTCGGGGTCGGCGGAACGGCTCGGGTCGTGGCGGAAACAGTCCCCGTCGGGATCCTGCTGTTGATCGGGCCGTGGACGTGTTGGCAGCGGCGGTCCGTCAGGCGCAGGCGGGTGGGGAGCCGACGCAGGTGCACATAGCCGTAACCAGTGGCCCTCCCCTCGCCCTAGACTCTGGCCTAGCGGTCCCGCTTCGCGCGCCAACCTTACGCGAGTATCAGCCCGCGCGGGAGGCGAGGGCGCTGTTCCGCACCGCTCGGCAGGCCCCGGGCTTCCACGCTCAGCAATTCTCGTTTGGCCGAGCCCCGGGCCGGTCGGCGGCGCTTTCGCGCGAAGCTCCGACTGCACCTTCCCCCACTCGCGCGGGGAGAGACCCCATGCTGACCATGTGCCGGATGTTGAATCTGACGGAGGCGTGCGAGGGGGTGGCGAGCTTGCAGATGGCGGTGTGTGGGGCCATGCGTAACTCTCCGAGCAGTCACGCTCCAGGTTCCCGAGGATCGTGCGTGTCTTGGGCAGAAGCTCTCGCCCTGCCTTTGAAACCCGTGTCGGAAGCGCCCGCCGGGGTAGCGCCCTTAGCGCGTACCTTCCTCCGCCACGTGGAGGATCTTGTTGGGGCTGCTCATGTTGGGACGCCGGTAGACACCCTTCACTCGTCGGCGCAGCTCCTCCTTGCGGTGTCGGCGTGCATGCGCGGAGCCGTACACGATGTAGGCTTCTGCCGCGTGTAGAACTGCATGCCCCCGCCTTTTGTTGGCCTCTTGTCCTCTTTGTTGTGTTGTCCTTGTTCTTTCTTTACTGTTGAGCTTGCTTGACTGCCTTGCCACCCGAGACGCGCGGCCGAAGGCCGCCGGCGCGAGCCGCTGGAAATTTGGAACCCACACGAAATAAAGAGGAACAAGAGCCAACAGCAGCCCTTAAGTAGGCCCGAGGGCAGAGGGCAGAGGGAAGGAACAAAGGGAAGGCTAAGGTTCCTCTCTCTCTCTCTCGCTCTCCGCTAGCCGCTGGAAATTTGGAACCCACACGAAATAATGAGGAACAAGAGCCAACAGCAGCCCTTAAGTAGGCCCGAGGGCAGAGGGCAGAGGGAAGGAACAGAGGGAAGGCTAATGTTCCTCTCTCTCTCTCTCTCTCTCTCTCTCTCTCTCTCTCTCTCTCTCTCTCTCTCTCTCTCTCTCTAATGGTTTGTGTATTAATAGATCAAGAAAGGGACATGCATGCATGTGATAAGTCTAGCTAAGTTTCAGCAAACGAACAAGAGCAAACAAACAAACAAACAAACTCCAAACTACCAGCCTACCTATGCCCCCCCCTTCCCTCTCAGACACCCCCTAACCGAACTCTGTGAGGGGCTCTAGCACGGTGAAGCAGTCCCCGAGGGACATCTCCGTGTGGGCACCCCCCACGGGCGGGTTTTCTGCCGCTGCAGCCAGGCTTGACTTCATGAGGTACCCCACCGACTGGGCCCTCTGGAGTGCTACGGACCACCTTTGCTGGAACTGATGCAGAAACTTTGCGGCCTGGAAGGAGTGAGGGTCGGCGTTGAAGTGTCGCCGAGCCGCTGTGTCTGCTAACAGCTTCAAAAAGGTTGGGACCTCTGCACAGGGGCAGCCATAGGTTTCAACCGCCAGAGGAAAGATCAGGCCTTGCCTCGTAATGCTTGGATTTCTTGTCTGCCTATTCTCTCGCCGCCCATCCGCGCCCTTTTACCGCCTCAGGGTCCCTTGTGCTGATGGGGTCTGTGATTGCAACGTCACAGATATAGACCGCCTCTGAGCTCCTGTCCCGGATCGTGAGATCTGCCGTCTGCTCCTCAATGGGGCAGTAAGCTGCCGATTCTCCGTGTACAATAAACCCTGCGTCCTCTGCCATGCTGATGCAGGCGTCGCGCAGCTCGTTGTGCGTGTTTATCCGATGCTTGCCTGTCCCGCAGCGGAAGAGGTGGTTTGGTAGTCTGGGGTCTGTGATGGCGGTGTGTTTGGAACAGTCGCACTTAGCCGGCGTAGAAAAAGGCAGTCCTAGCGTGAAACGAAGGACGTTGGAGAAGTATTATGGGCCCATTCTCCTGTTCGTCGCAATGGGGATGGCGAGAAGCCAGTCACCGGCACCGTAACCTGTTAGAGAGAACAGGCGTTGCGTGTGCCCGGACTATGGGTTTAGGTTTATGCGCCAAGACTCCAGTACTTGTCTGGCATACCTGCTCCCCTGCACCTGTACCGCCATGGTGTGCTGCAGTTTCACCCCTGTTGGCTCCATCCTCTCCTTCTCCAGTATCTCCAGTGCTTCTCTATGAATTTTCGCTTCGCACTCTGTGAGCCATGCGTGGAGGGGGGAGGTGCCCTCCCGTGCCAGTAGCATATGGTTTCTGGCGGCAGACAGGATGTCGTCGGGCTCAAGGGGTAGTGAGGTGAGTAAGAGCGCTGCCTGGGTAAAACTCGCTAGGAAACCGTAGATGCCTTCTACTGTGGGATCGGCCAGACCTATTCCGCCCAGTGACGGCGGTAGTGAAGACTGCTCCCAAACTCGATGCTGTTCGTCGTCGCTCGTGGGGAAACGGATGCCACATGAAGCTAATAGTGTGGCTAGCAAGTCCCTGCCCCACTGTGTCCATACGTCGCTTGATAGAAGGTTGATCGGTGTCGTCCGTGTGAGGTATGCCACCCTACGTGAGATGCAGCGTGTGAGTAGGAGCGACGCTATCTGAGGGTCTGTGCGCTCCAGAATCGGCAGTGGCTTGGCCATTGTGCGAAGTTGCTCGTCCAGGAATGAGGCGGCGCCGTCTGTAGTGCCAAGGTAACTGCCGAGTAATCTAACGCCGTCGTCGCTAAAGGGTACCCCGCTGGGCAAATGTAACTCGCTGGCGTTGCGTGTAGGACTCCATGCTGCGCATTTCGCAGGGTTGTGTTGTAGGCCTACTAGCGCTAACTGCCTGGTGAAGTGAGAAAACACAGCAGTTGCCTCGTCGGCGTCACCTAGGAAAGTGACGTTGTCGGCGTATGCTAAGCAGAGAACACCTGGGTATGCGGCTGCCGTCATGCGTAGAGCGGGGTGGATTCCAGCGGCGAAAAGGAATGGTCCGAGGGGGTCCCCTTGCCTGACGCCACGCTCGCTCCTAAGCGGACCACTATTGCCTACCTAGAAATGTTGTTGAAAGCATTAGAAATGTCTGTCTGTAATATTAGGCAGTTTGGCCATTCGTCAGCGAAAGCTCGCGCCGTGTGGTTTATCGATTCTGCGCCGCCCGGTATCGCCACGCCATACTGCAGTGGGAGGAAGTCTCCGCGTGCTGCTTCTCCCATGGCTGTCAGAGCGGCCTTTGCTGCGAGTATAGTCAGGCACTCGCCAATAGCTATAGGACGTGCCCCTCCTCCGGGTTTGGCTAAGGCGATGAGGCGCGACCCTGTGAGTAGCTCTGCTACAGGCTCAGGTAATTTGCCACCCAGCACAGTGTTAACCAAGGCGTGTAGCTGGGTGCTGACCGATGCATTGGTAATGGCCGCATCGCGCAGATGTTCGAAGGTTGTACCGGACGGGCCAGCCCCCACACCATTCTCGCATCGGCTCAGCAACTTGACAAATTTCGAGTGGGAAATTGACAGTTCTGTCGCCTGGGTGTCAGTTGGCCAGGTCAGCGGTTCGGACCCTGCCGGAGGGTGTTTGTCGCGTAGCTCGTCCAGGACTCGTGGACGCGGCGTGCACACCGGCGTTGACTCCAGTGCTAGTACCGCACGGAGAAGACTGCCGCGCTTTGCTAGTTCCTCCGCCTTGCTGATGACGCCGGTTTCGTCAGGTTGATGACGGAGCGGTGGCGGTGTGTTGACTGCTTGCGTGGCGTCAGAGTATAACTGCTCCCATTCGCCACACTGAAATGAGCGAAGCCTGGCCTTGATTTTCGACCAGTCAGGATGCTTCGGTGATGCTTGGCGAAGAGTCAGGCGCGGGAGAAGTAGCAGGAGACGCCACGCTACGATGGAGTTGGGGTGTCGCGACAAGTGTAGGAGTGGGGTCAGTAGGGCCAGCGAAAACAACTGGCACAGTTTCGGCGGTAATCATCGTGACAGCGGTGGTTGGCGACTATCACACAGGGGTGCTAAATCCCAGGTCGCGACGTTTGCGAACCTGTCAGTGTGCCTCGCCAACTCCTCTGGCGAGAAATAGCGCAGGTTCGAGGGCAGGGATGACAGATTGGGCAACCAATGTGCGGCTCGTGGTGCTCCAGTGCGGTTTGATGCTTGGGATGGGGATTGGGTTGGATTTACAGCCGCCCGATTGCCATCGTGCGGTCCTCCTCCAACTCCTGTCTGCTCTGCTTCCCCCCCCTGGGCCCTGTTGAGTCTGCTTCCGTCTCCTTCCCTCTCCTCTCCTTCGCCATCCTCACTGCTGGTACTTGGAGCCTGTGCCTCTTCTCTATAAGTTGGGTCTGCTCGCTCCTCCTCCTCATTAGTAGTCAATAAGTTCATTAAAGCCGCTCGCCCTGCTACTTGGAACGCGTTCTCCGGGCCTCCGCCCACGCTGCCAGCTGCTCGTCTCCTTCGACCTCGTCCTCCTCTACCCCGCAATGGTTATTGAAGGCGGGTTTGAGCCGTTGCCAACGCACGCTGTCTCTGCGTCTGGGGTATACGGAAGATCCCCGCCTGTGCCTGCCTTGGAAACTGCCGCGATGATGCCGCCGCTGCCGCCTGCACCGACACCTGTTCAGCCCGTCGCTCAGGCACCGTCTCTCCCAAATCCCGCCCTGCTGGTTGTTCCGCCACGTGTGATGCGGTGGTTGTTCCTCCTGCTCCCGCTCACGTGGAGTCCCTTCCTGAAGCCCCTGCTAATGTTGCTGTTCTGGTTCCTCTCGTCGAACTTGGCGCGTCGCCAGTCACCGCTGCCCCTGTTGCGCCGGCTGCAGCCGAGGGCTCTGCCGCGCCGGTGGTGTCGCAACCGGCGGTGTCCGCCACCACTGCCGGCCAGTCCCTCGTGGTGGGACCTGTTGAAGCTCCCGTCCCTCCAGCTGCGGCGACATCTGTGCCGCTCCCAAACGTCCAGGCGGTGCCTGATCCTGCGCCGCTCACTGCTGTTCCCCCTGCTCAGCGTCAGCCGTCTCCGGGCCGCCGGCAGCATCGGCCTCACTCCCCGGCGCCACGTGACGAGCGAGAAACGACGCGGCGGCGACGCGACTCTCCTCGGCGTCGTGGTTCCCAAGCGAACTGGGCTGCGTCCCGCGGTGGTCGCGGTGGCTGGTGGGGAGGGCGCGGGCGTAGTGGTGACTGGGGGTATGATCGGCCGGTGTCGATGGCCGATCTGCAGTGAGCTGTTTCTGCTGCGGTGCGCGAGGAGCGGAACGGGCAGGCGAGCCAGAGCAATTCGCCTCGCGTCGCTCCAACGCATGCGTCCCTTCCTCCAGCTGCGCCCCATGCGCCGGCGCCTCCTCTTCCCCAATCAGCCGTTCCTCCTCCTCATGCTCCCTCTGCATCTGCTGCTGCTCTTGGGAACCGTATGCGCCTGCCGTGGGTTCCTCCTGTGGCGGGTATGGAGTTCGTGACCGCGGCAGGGGGACCCGTGACGGGTCAGTATCCATCTCTGCTGCCCGTCGATCCTGCTCTGCCGGCTGCTGCGCTACCTCATCAGTCGCTGGCGGGCCCCTCTCCTTCCGCTGTGGTGCCGGAGGCGTCTCTGGGGCAGCTGTGGCGCCTCTCTGAGGGTCTGCGGGCTGTTCACCTGATTCAGGTGTATGGTCACGCGGCTCTCGCCCAGGGTGTTCCTCTGGACAGTGGCCATCGGGACAAGTGCCTAGATGCCGCTGATCGGCTGGGCGAGCTCCTGGCGCCCGTGTTGGCTGCGCCCGCGCGGGGTGGAGTTGCGGGCGTTGGACAGCTTGGGACGGCAGTCCGTGGGCTGCGCCAGTTTTTGCGCGCAGGGACTGCAGTCGACTTGATCGGCGCAACCACAGTGGTGGTGCGCGAGCTTCATCGCTCTCTGACGGGTCTTCTCGCCGTCCTTGACGCGGATCAGATGTAGTGTCCGCCTCTTCCTGCGCCATATTGTTGCCGTGTGTTGTCCTAGGCAGGTATAGGTGATACCATTGCGTGTATGTCTTGAATTATAGTTGCTTGTCCCTCTCCCCCTTGCCGTCCCCTCACGCGCGGCCGAAGGCCGCGCTGTCGAGCGTCGGCCGGCGGAGGCGGCCGGCGCGAGCCGCTCGGTTAGGAGAAAGAAACCAACCACAAACTGAATAATGAGATGCTAGGCAGGCAATAAGGCCTTAAATACTAGGGAGGAAGGAGAAGGATAGGCTAAGGACTAGGACTATGCCTCTCTCTCTCTCTCTCGCTCTCTCAGCCGCTCGGTTAGGAGAAAGAAACCAACCACAAACTGAATAATGAGATGCTAGGCAGGCAACAAGGCCTTAAATACTAGGGAGGAAGGAGAAGGAGAGGCTAAGGACTAGGACTATGCCTCTCTCTCTCAAGCAGTCCTGTATTGATAATGGTCAAAGGGTACAAACAAGGCATGAGTGGTTTGGCCTAATCCCGCAACCCTAGAAGCATAGGCAACCCTGGCATGCATTGCTTGTCCTATTCCTGCTTTCCCTGGCACAGGGCTACCTAGGCACGCAATCACCAATCACTACACACACATGGTGGCTCTGGCAGCCTTGTTCTTGCCTCGGCTCCTACCCTCCAGCCCTCTAGACTCCCAGGTCCCATGCTTCCTCCACCTCATCCTCCAGGACCTGCCATATGTCCCCCATGCCTGGTTCCCAAGGGTCGGCCCAGGCCTGGGGGTATGCTGCCTCCGCCGCCCTGTTGGACTTTGCCAACATGGCGTTGGCTTGGCAGCGCTGCAGCATTACCGACCAGCGCTGTCGGTAGTGCGCAGTCAGCCTGGAGGCCACCGTGGTGAGCCTCCCTTGGCGGTGTTTCTTCTTGGCCGCACTCGTGCCTAGAATGCGGAAGAATTTCTGTGTGTCCTTCGCTAATCCCCCCTAGGTTTCCACTGCCAGGCCCAGGACCCCCGCAAACTCGGGGCGCTCCTCATAGAGTCCCCTTTTGGTCCTGGCTGCGTCCTCTGCTGCCCACCCCGATGCCTTTCTCCCTTGGGTGTCCCGCCTCTGCAGCACTGGGTCGGTCACCGTCACGTCTATGAGGTAGGTTTCACCGGACTCCTTGTCACGGAAGACTAGGTCCGCCCGTTTAGGGTTGAGTGGGGGCGAAAAACCTGTCGTCTCGTGTAAGGTAGTGAAATCCGCCTCGCGTGCCATGCGTAGTGCCGCGTACACCAGCGCGTTGTGGGTGTTGGTGCGGTCCCCCCCATCCGCACATCTCAGCAGGTGATTAGGCAGGCTGCTGTCTGCTATCTTGGAGCGCTTGCCGCGGCAGGGGCAGTGTTCTGTGACTGGCAGGGTAAGACCGAGCCTGAAGCCGAGGGCTATGGCAAATTGCCCGGGTGAGAAGGTGAGGTCCGCACGCGTGGGTATGGCGTGCAGCCAGTCTCCTGCCCCCGGCGCCTGCAGGGCTATGAGCCGCACCACGTGCCCGTTGTCCTGTCCCGGCTTGTCTACTCGAGTATCCCCTATCAGCTCCGCTGCTCTGTCCAAGTTGACCTCACGTGATAGCCCTAGCTGCAGCCGCCCCTTCCCCCCTTTCTGGTGGTGATGCTCATGCAGGAGTTCCAGTGCACTCTCTGGCAGCTTGCTCTTAAGGTCCTGCAGGGTCTCTTCTCCCTGTGCCGTCACCAAGGTGCTTTCAGTGGATACCAGGTTTGCAGCCCGCCTCAGGGGGTGGTCTGGGTGCTTAGGGAGGCCACTCAGTAGGGTGTGGGCCGCACATAGGGATGCCAGGTAGGCTGCAGGTGCTTCTGAAACCGGATCTATGAGGCCCAGGCCGCCGAGGCACACTGGTAGAGTCGCATGCCTCCACACCAGGCTCTGTTCGATCTCCTTCCTTGGCACGTGCAGGTGTGCCGCCTTGAGTGCCGTCCACACCAGTCCCTCGCTCCACTCCCGCCACTCCTCTAAGGGCAGCATGTCTGCCGGTGTTGTCCGGAGCAGGTAGGAGATACGCCTGGATATGCAGCGTGACAGCAATAGTAGGGCGTGTTGTGGGTGGATGCTGCTGATAAGGTCTAGTGGTGTCGCCACCGAGTCTAGGTATGTTGTGATCATGCGCTTCCCGTATTCCCTTGTCCCTATCGGGCTCCCCAGGACGCGTATGCCGTCTACTGCTGCTACCAGGCCGTCAGGTAGGTCGTCCGGTATGCCTGATGGGCTCCAAGCAGATGATTTCGCGAGGTTGCATTTGAGGCCGCGGCCGGTGAGGTGCCTAGTGATGATCCCCAAGGTTAGTGCCGCCTCCGGTGCCGTCCCCACGATTGTAATGTCATCCGCGTAGGCCATGACCGTGACCGAAGGGAATATGTCGGATGCCACCTGAAGCGCCGGTTGAATAGCTGCTGCAAAAAGCATGGGGCCTAATGGGTCTCCTTGGCGGACCCCGCGCACGCTCTCGATCTGTGGTGCCGCGAAGCCTTGATCCAGCAGTAGGCAGGAGGGCGTACCGTACAGCGTACGCACCAGTGGTATGACGCGGCTGAGACCGGAGAAATGCAGTGATTCGAAGAAACCCGCCCGTTCGACCGAGTTAAAGGCATTTTCGATATCTAACTGCAGCGCCACTCGCTTCGGATCCTCGGCTAGGAGCGCGCGCACCGTGTGAATAATACATTCAGCACCTCCAGGTACTGCCACTCCAAATTGCACCGGTAGGAAGTATTCTCGGATGGGCGTGCTTAGTTCCCTTAGCGCTCCCATCACAAAAACCCCTCATTTTCCAATCGCGGGAAAAGGGGTCGAGTTGGTTTCGGAAGTTGGGTTTGCGTGGGTTGTGCACATTTTTTCGCCCAACCACTAGCGAAATGTGTGACTTCTCGATGTTCCAGCTTGGTTTCGTGATTCGGACCCGACTCGCGAAACAAATTGCGCCTCGGCGAACCGAATTCAGTCTGATCCCGGACAGAATCTGGTGTACAGTCCTCGTTTTGACTTGGTTGAAAATTCAGTTTCGTGGTTTAGCTTTCGTTTCCCGCTAAAATGTTTGGATCATCCGTTGTTTTCGCGCAGGACCAGGCGTGGTGATCGAACGTGCTCCGGGCCTGCTTTTTTGGGTCTCGCATAGGAGTGATCTGAGACCAACTTTGGTCTACAATTGTTCTGTGTAAAAACAATTTACTGTATGTCAAATTTAGACAGTTAATATTCAAGATTTATGGTACATGGGCAACCAACTCCTTCACCATTAAAATCATAGTCTAGGAGTTCATGTAACCAGATCTCTAATTAAAATTCTGATTAATCATTTCTCAACTTTGCGAGACGTAAAACGAATATAAAGCGTTAACGATGGCACCACATTTTGATTTCATGCTTGGAATATAGTGCATTTCCCAACAATCACAAGAAGCCATGCTAAAAACAAACACAAACAAATACAAAATGCAGAAACGCGTGTTCCGCTGGCTTATCCATGCACGAGTTTTCGTTCTCGTTTGTTCAGATAACATATCTTCTTACCAGGTGTTGCGAATGGTACCATATCTTGATGGCATGCTTGTAATATAGGGCATGCCCCACCAATCAAGAGAAACCGGGCTAATAATATCAAATAGGCGTTGAAACAGCACCCCGTGTCGCACAGGCCTATCCCTGCACCTGCTCGTTTGTTCGAACTATCATATCTTCCTACCAAGTGATGCGAATGGTACCATATCTTGATGGCATGCTTGTAATATAGTGCATGGCTCAACAATCAAGAGAAACTGTGCTAATAAAATCAAATAGACGTTGAAACAGCACCCCGTGTCGCACAGGCCTATCCCTGCACCTGCTCGTTTGTTCGAACTATCATATCTTCCTACCGAGTGCTGCGAATGGTACCATATCTTGATGGCATGCTTGTAATATAGTGCATGCCTCAACAATCAAGAGAAACCAGGCTAATAATATCAAATAGGCGTTGAAACAGCACCCCGTGTCGCACAGGCCTATCCCTGCACCTGCTCGTTTGTTCGAACTAGCATATCTCGCTACCAAGTGCTGCGAATGGTACCATATCTTGATGGCATGCTTGTAATATAGTGCATGCCTCAACAATCAAGAGAAACTGTGCTAATAAGATCAAATAGGCGTTGAAACAGCACCCCGTGTTGCACAGGCCTATCCCTGCACCTGCTCGTTTGTTCGAACTATCATATCTTCCTACCGAGTGCTGCGAATGGTACCATATCTTGATGGCATGCTTGTAATATAGTGCATGCCTCAACAATCAAGAGAAACTGGGCTAATAAAATCAAATAGGCGTTGAAACAGCACCCCGTGTCGCACAGGCCTATCCCTGCACCTGCTCGTTTGTTCAAACTATCATATCTTCCTACCGAGTGTTGCGAATGGTACCATATCTTGATGGCATGCTTGTAATATAGTGCATGCCTCAACAATCAAGAGAAACCGGGCTAATAATATCAAATAGGCGTCGAAACAGCACCCCGTGTCGCACAGGCCTATCCCTGCACCTGCTCGTTTGTTCGAACTATCATATCTTCCTACCAAGTGATGCGAATGGTACCATATCTTGATGGCATGCTTGTAATATAGTGCATGCCTCAACAATCAAGAGAAACCGTGCTAATAAAATCAAATAGACGTTGAAACAGCACCCCGTGTCGCACAGGCCTATCCCTGCACCTGCTCGTTTGTTCGAACTATCATATCTTCCTACCAAGTGATGCAAATGGTACCATATCTTGATGGCATGCTTGTAAGATAGTGCATGTCTCAACAATCAAGAGAATCAAGCCAAAAAATCCAAATAGACATTGAAATAGCACCCCGTGTCGCACGGGCCTATCCCTGCCCCTGCTCGTTTGTTTGAGCTATCATATTGTCAGATTATAATGCTTGTCTAGCCTGCAGTGGGGTACTCTATAGTGAGTACGGCCCCTTAGGGTTTCCTATTTGTATCCCAACTGTTGCTAGTCCAACCCCTCTTTTGCCTATTCTCTCTTGCCTAGCTAGGTAAACCCTAGCTATGGCTCCTCGTTCTACCCACTATTCTGACACATATCTCCCTGCGAATGGTACCATATCTTGATGGCATGCTTTTAATATAGTGCATGTCTCAACCATTAAGAGAAACTATGCAAAAAATTATAAATAGACATAGAAATAGCACCACGTGTCGCACATGCCTATCCCCACACCTGCTCGTTTGTTCGAACTAGCATATCTCCCTACCAAGTGCTGCGAATGGTACCATATCTTGATCGCATGCTTGTAATATAGTGCATGTCTCAACGATAAAGAGATACCATGAAAAGGAAAAAGAAAAAACGTTGAGACAGCACACCGTGTCGCACATGCCTATCCTTGCACCTGCTCGTTCCTTTGCTAATATGCCTAGGAGTATTATATCATAGCACATCACTATACCATACATCCCTTGAATACATTAGGACTTGTTTTCATGCTATGTTAATATCACAAAATATTGTAAGCATTGAAGTATGTGTCATGGCTTTGTACATTAAAATGTGAACACAGAATGTAGTGTTTTGTTGTAAAGCTGTAAATGGTACAACTAACTGCTGTGACGCGGTGCGTTCAATCCGAGACCACCCCATTGGTCATTCCCATCCCCATTTTACAACATACACGTCATCTGAGTCTAATTGGTGCAATCCTGATACATTGGCGATAAGTTTCGTTTGTGATTGGTGAGTTTCTTTTTGTCGCTCGCTGAGCTCTCGCACTGTACAATTGCGCAGCTGAGCTGGATATGTTTCGTTTGTGATTGTTGCGTTTCTTTCAGTGCATCTGCACAAAAAGCTGCAGCTGCCGCAGCGCGCGCAGCTGCGCTGGATTTTTCAGCTCCAGCCATCCGCGCAGTTGCTCGAGCTGCCTCAGCTCGCGCAGCTGTGATGTGCTGGAGTTTGCAACTCCAGCGAATCCGCGCAATTGCACGGAACTGCGCGCAACTGCCAAACCCAGCGCAACTGCGCAGCTGCTGTAACTGCATCTGTCGCAACTGCTGCAGCGCCCACCCATCCCAGCGTGCAACCGCGCAGCGCTGCACACTTCCCTTCCCCCCCTCCCATTCCATCGCAACTGCTCGAACTCTCTCAACTCAACTCTCTTCATGCGCATTTTTCCTTCTCTCTCAACTCTCAGCACAAGCAGATTGTTGCTCTAGTATACGTGAGTCTGTACTTCAGTTTCTTATTTCATTATCTTCAGTACGTCTCTCTGTATGCTAGCACTCAGATCTCCAGTCGAGTTCTTACACTACCCTGCCGTAGTATGCGCCCCTGTCTACCGCTCTTGGCATGCGGTGCGTGTCTGACATCCAATTATTTCCTACTCTTTTTCGCTCTAGCCACTTTCTTTGGTGCCTATGTATGCAAAGCATGTTTCGTTTAGGCGGATTACGCTGACGTTTCCTTGTGACGTTATTGCAGGTGCTGCGCGATTCACTGACATATTGCCGTCTTATTGTTATCGTTATTCGTTGGTCCTCATGTTTTTGCTTTGTACTGCTTATGTCCATTCGGCATTTTTATTTCCTGCTGCCTCACACTGTTTTGCCGTTGTGTTTTTGTCGTGGTTCAGGCGGCGGGCTCTGCTTCAAGCTGGTGTCGATGTGTTGGCCTTGCCTCCAAGCAGGTCGATTCTGGCTGCAAACTGTTACATGATGCTAGCGTTTTCCAGTATTGGTGTTGCATGTCACAACGATCCGCTGATGGTTTATTGTTTCTTCATTTCACTACCGTGTGCAGTTCTACGGCTGACATTTGACGGTATGTCCATTTCTTCGTTTCATTTTTTTTACGTAATGTTTCCCTTGTGCTCTGTGCATGTGTCTTCTGCCAGCAAGCGTCGGCCTTGGCCTCAAGCAGGCATCGGCTACTCAAGCAGGCGTCGGCTACTCAAGCTGGCGTCGGCCTTCACTCAAGCAGGCGTCGGCCTTTGCTCATGCAGGCGTTGGCCATCAGGCAGGCGTCGGCGTTTGCTCTAAGCGCTGCTCTGCCTTGATAGCGATAGCGATGTCTTGATTGTGTAATCTTGTGTACGAATATATATTCATTAATATAAATATTTCATATAACAAATTTTACAATTAAACTACTGGTAATTATGGAATACAATATATGAATCTGCGTCCTATCATGGATGTCCTTGCAGACCAGATTTAGACAAAATTTAGACAAATACAGGTCATAACTGGTACTTGCTTTAGACCAATTTTAGTGCTATACTCTAGACGAATTTTGGCCAAACATAGTCCAACATTCAACCTTGCAACTATACCAATCTTGGACCAAAAAAAAAGTCCAAAACTGGTCCAATTTAGGACGGACACACCAATGTTTGACCAATTTTGGACCAATCCAATAGCGGGGTTTTTGTGATGCCCTTAGCCGTGAGTCGTAGTATCGCTTCTCCTATGGCTATGGGTATGACACCTCCGTCCGGTTTCTCTAGGGCTATTAACCTAGATGGTAGCAAAAGCTCCGTCAGATCCGCTGGCAGGTGGGTGCTTAGGACGTGGTTGATGACGCCGTGCAGGTGAGAGAACACCTCATTGTTAGTGAGAGCGGGGTCGCGTAGGTGCTCGAAGCACGTGCCTGAGGGTCCAGCTCCAATTCCATTGGGGCATTTCGCAAGTACTTCACGAAAGGTATCTGCCGATGTTGAGAGGTTGCTGGAGGCGAATCCTGTTACCCAGGACGGGATTTCGCTCCCTGCCCCCGGGTGCTTCGCTTTCAATGGTTCCAGGGTCGCATTTGATGGTTCTGCGAGTGGCGAGGTTTGTAACGCTGCTGCCGCTTTGGCCAAATTCGCCTTGCGCACCAATCCCTCCGCCCTCGCGCAGATGCCCTCGGGGTCCGGCTGGTGATGACTCGGTTGGGAGTTCTGGGGTATGGTGCAGGCCTGGGAGTACAGTAAATCCCATTTTTCCAACTTGAACTGGTCCAGCCTTGTCGCCACCTCGCCCCACCTGTTTCCAGGTGCTTTCCCAATGTTAGCTCTTAGTGTGAGTCGGGGCAGGAATAGCAACATTCGCCAGGCTCCTTGGCAGGTTGGGTTCTTGGAAAGTCGCAGCAGTGGAATCGTGAGGCAGTAGCTGTAGATTCCAAGAATGTTGGGGGGAAGCTTCCGAACCAGGAAAGGTTGGGCGCTGTTGCGTAGGGGTGACAGGTCCCACTCCTTCACCTTCTACCTTGTGGCCTCGTCCTCCGCGATATCCGATGCTGAGCGCTCCCGATTCGCTGCCCTCGCGCCAACCTGTGCGCTTGATTCAGCCGCCTGGGCTGGTTGTGCATTACGCGCACTCCTCTGTCCCTGGATTGCGCCGGTGTTCAGGATCCCCTCTTCTGCCTCGAGGGAGATATCTTCTGAATCTCCCTCCTCCGACTCGATATATTCCCCATCGCTTCCTTCATCCTCACCCGTCGTTGGGTGAGCGTTCTGTCTTGTGCCAGTCCGCTCTGGCCTTCCGTGTCTTTCCCGCCTGTCTCCCGATCTGGCCTTTTCCCTTGCTACCGCTCGTACCAAGTTTCCTAGGCCTCCCTCCCTGCCTCGGCCCCTCCCTCGCGCTCCTCTCGCTGCTGCTCCCAGCGCCGCGATTTGCGGCGGTCGACCTTCAGCTCTCCGGTTGGCCTGCTCCTGCAAGGCCTGCTGCCGGCTCGTTCCCCCTTGGTGGCGGCCGCGTCTGGCCGCGGCCCTTCTCTCCTCTGCGTCTTCAGCCGCGCTCTCCCTCTCCTCCTGCGCCTCCGCTTCGTCTTCCGCCGTCTCTGTCGCCCTCTCCAGGCGCGGTGATAACTGGTCGGCGCCGCCCTCCGCCTCGGCGACTGCCATGGGCGGGTTTTCCTGATGCGCCCAACCCACGAGGGGCCCAGGTCGGGCAGGTGCCAGCCCTTCTCCGAGCCGCCGCTGATGCTGTTGCGGCCGTGGCTTCTGGCGGCGGCTCTTCTTAGGCACGCGTCGGTTCGTCTGCACCTCGTGAGCTGATTTATCGGTCTCCCCGCGGGCGGACTCATCCACATCTAAGGGCCCGGGGTCAGTCCTTCCGCCGCCGCCGCCCTCCCCGGCCGTCTCCGTCTCTTGCCCCACGGTCGGCGCGATCCCTGGTTCAGGCTCAGCAGTCTCAGGCGCCAATGGCGCCTCACTCGCAGCCACCGGCGCAGCCTCCGCCACCTCAACCGTTGCCGTCGCTGGCCTCTTCTTCGTCGCAGCAGCAGCCTTTGTCCGCGCCGGCGGCCCAGTTGCCTTCCCCGTCGGTGGCGCCGCCCGTGGCGTTGTCGATGGTGCCGTCTGTGTCTTCCGGCCCGAGTTGCGTGCCGCCGCAGCCGCCGACGTGGGCCTCCCTTCTGGCCCCTCAGCCGCAGCAGGCGCCGTCCACGTCGTCCCCGGTTGCTCCCCTGCCTCAACCTGCCGCGGGGGTCTCGGTTCCTCCTCCTCCGCTGGCCCCCGCTGTGCCGATCCCGCCGTTGCCTCCTTCTCAGCCGCACACGGATCCTCCAACGGTTCCTGTGGTTTCTGCTGCCCCTCTGGTCGGTGCAGGGGACCAGGGGGCGCAGCGACAGCGTCCTCTCCTCCCGCCGCATCCGCCACAGGTGCCCCGGTGTCGTCGCCGCTCTCCTTCTCCTGGTATTCCGGGTGATGCTCCTGACCCGCCGGGGGAGTGGTGGCTTGAGCGGGATACCTGGACGGCCCCTGCTCAACCCGGGTTTTTGTTGGGGCGGTGGGCTGCTGAGACCCCGATAGTGGCTGACCTTGTCCGGTGGGAGCGGCGCCTGTCGGACGTTGGGGAGTGCCTCTCGCTCCTCGCGACTGTGCTTGACCAGCTGCATGTCGGACTGTAGCGCCGACCTGTTTTTGCGCGCGATCCCCAGCTTGACGAGGGGCAGCAGGGTGTGGTTCGTGATGCTGCCTCCCATTGCCTCTGGACCCTGCTCCACCTGCCGCTGGAGAGTGAGACCCCCGCCAAGAATGAGGGCCCGGGCGCGACGTATTTCCGGAGGGTAGCCAAGGCAGCTGAAGAGGCGCCCCTTGGGCTCGTGCCTGCGCTCGCGTCAGTGCTCCGGTGGTTGCGTTGGCGCATCCATCTTTTGAACCGGGTGTAGGTTGTTTTGTGCCTTCTCCCTGCGTCCCCTTCCCCTTTCCCATGGCGGCAGATCTCCGCCGCTGCTGTTGTTTTCTTCTCCTCAGCCTTTAGTTGTCACTGTTGTACTGCTCCATGCTATAGTGTGACTTCTCCTCCTTGTCCTTGCCTCCCCTAACGCGCGGCCGAAGGCCGCGCCGTCGAGCGTCGGCCGCCGAAGGCGGCCGGCGCAAGCCGCTGGGTTGGGAGGAACCCCACTCACCAGAGAATAATGGCTGGAATTAAGCAACAAGGCTGGCTATATAGGAGCCTGTACTCCCTATAGGCCTAATGCAGGGGCTACACTAGGAACAGGAGGCTAAGGAAGCATTAGTTCTATGCTATGCTAAGGCTAAGCTAAGCTAGAGAGCTTGGAGAGACTAAGGGCTGGGACTGGTGTCCCTCTCTCTCTCTCTCTCTCTCTCTCTCTCTCTCTCTCTCTCTCTCTCTCTCTCTCTCTCTCTCTCTCTCTCGCTCTCTCGAACGAGCCGCTGGGTTGGGAGGAACCCCACTCACCAGAGAATAATGGCTGGAATTAAGCAACAAGGCTGGCTATATAGGAGCCTGTACTCCCTATAGGCCTAATGCAGGGGCTACACTAGGAACAAGAGGCTAAGGAAGCATTAGTTCTATGCTATGCTAAGGCTAAGCTAAGCTAGAGAGCTTGGAGAGACTAAGGGCTGGGACTGGTGTCCCTCTCTCTCTCTCTCTATCTCTCTCTCTCTCTCTCTCTCTCTCTCTCTCTCTCTCTCTCTCTCTCTCTCTCTCTCTCTCTCGCTCTCTCGAACGAGCCGCTGGGTTGGGAGGAACCCCACTCACCAGAGAATAATGGCTGGAATTAAGCAACAAGGCTGGCTATATAGGAGCCTGTACTCCCTATAGGCCTAATGCAGGGGCTACACTAGGAACAGGAGGCTAAGGAAGCATTAGTTCTATGCTATGCTAAGGCTAAGCTAAGTTTGAGAGCTTGGAGAGACTAAGGGCTGGGACTGGTGTCCCTCTCTCTCTCTCTCTCTCTCTCTCTCTCTCTCTCTCTCTCTCTCTCTCTCTCTCTCTCTCTCTCTCGCTCTCTCGAACGAGCCGCTGGGTTGGGAGGAACCCCACTCACCAGAGAATAATGGCTGGAATTAAGCAACAAGGCTGGCTATATAGGAGCCTGTACTCCCTATAGGCCTAATGCAGGGGCTACACTAGGAACAGGAGGCTAAGGAAGCATTAGTTCTATGCTATGCTAAGGCTAAGCTAAGCTTGGAGAGACTAAGGGCTGGGACTGGTGTCCCTCTCTCTCTCTCTCTCTCTCTCTCTCTCTCTCTCTCTCTCTCTCTCTCTCTCTCTCTCTCTCTCTCTCTAATGGTCCGTGTATTGATATAGCCAAAGGGTACATTCATGCATAGGTATTGCTAGGATGGTAAGGCAAACAAGCAAACAAATAACAAACAATACACAACTACCTCTCTACACCTCCATAAGAGGCTCCAGCACAGCACAGCAGTCCCCAAGGTGGAGCTCGGACTGCACCCCCCCTACGGGAGGATTTTCAGCACTGGTCGCTGGGAGGACTTGATTAAGTATCCCACTGACTGTGCTCTTTGCAGAGCCACGGAACAGCGCTGCCTGAAGAGGTGTAGGAACCTCCTTGTGTGATGAGAGGTGGGTTGGGCGTTGAAATGACGCCTAGCAGCTGTGTCCGCCAGTAACTTCAGAAATTTTGGGACTTCCGCGCATGGGCAGCCGTATGTCTCAACTACAAGGGGGAAGAAGCCGACCGTGTCAGGCCGGTTTGCGTAGTGGCTGATTTTCTTGTCAGCTTGCTCTCTTGCTGCCCATCCCCTCCCCTTAGTAGCATTGGGATCCCGAGTGCTAATGGGATCTGTGATGGTGACATCACAGGCGTATACTGCCCCCGAGCTCCTATCACGCATGGTGAAGTCGGCGGTCTGCTCTTCAATAGGGCAGTACGCAGCTGATTCACTGTGAACCATGAAGCCGGCATCTTCCGCCATAGTAATACATGCGTCCCGCAGTTCGTTGTGAGTGTTGATTCTGTGCTTGCCTGTCCGTGGTTTGGTAGCCGTGGGTCCTAGATCTCAACATGCTTGGAGCAGTCACAGTTTTTGGGCATGGCTAAGGTGGAGGCTCTGACCTGGAGGGATGGGCCGTGGTTGTTGGGGCATGGAATAGTGTGTCCCTCCCATATGCCATGTGTTCCTCCCGTATGCCACGTGTCCCGCCAGTATGCCACGTGTCCCTCCCGTATGCCACGTGTCCCTTCCGTATGCCACGTGTCCCTCCCGTATGCCACGTGTCCCTCCCATATGCCACGTGTATATCTCATGCATATCTCATGCGACGCGTTCCTTTCATGCCATCTGTGCTTTGTGCCAACCACAGTTGGGCGGGCAGTGGATGGGGCGGCCCGGGAGGTGCTGGGCCAAGTCAGGGGCAGGTAAGAACAACAGAGACATGGCACGTGAAAAAAACAACAATATGTTTACTCACTGTTGTCTTGTATCGCAAGGCTTTTGTCGTGTAACGCTGTGCTTTCATTTGTCTTGTTTTTGTCCAAAACAGGAAATGCATGTATTTGTGTTATAATGAAACACTGCTTCTTGTTCTTGATGTTCCCATATTCATGGCACATGCAACACATGGTTATCACAGGGGGTTCTGGCACGAGAAGACGAAGAAGAAGAGGGGCAGCTACATGGGCGAGGTCATCGACCAAGAAAGCTATTCCATCAAGTTTGTTGATTCTGATGATGAGTGATTGCGCGTGTCGTGTGCTTGGAACATATTTGGACCAAGATTATGAGTATTGAAGTAGGGATGTGTGGATTATTGTGACTAATAAATGGTGCTCTGTTAAGTTGGCTGGTTTGGGCTAGCGTTGATATGTTAAAATGTCTACCATTATTGTTTGCGTGTCTAAGGGGAAATGCAGGGTATAATCTGCCTTGCAAGTGACCAGCTTAATGCTGACTCACTGGAATGCTGGACATTGTTATTTGACGGATAAGAACGGGTGTGCAAATTAGCTGTCATGCCAGGCGTAAATGTTACTGTTGGAGACAATCAAAACTATTTAGCGCTCCATTGCATAACGGAACACTATGCCCCGCCCTAGAAAATCATTTTGGAAAGGCCTGAGGTGAGAATCATGCGGAAAGTGTATCATGCGAAAAATAATGGGTGTTGTGGGCCGTCCACTGCCAGCATATCTGCCACGTCATTCCCAGGGCCTTGGCCTGCAGCGCAGCGCACTCCAAATGGGTAACCGGACAAACTCCCAACAACCTGACTGTTGCCGGGGAGGATTCTCCACATGCGACAGTTACTGTATTCAAGAATCGTCTTTCGTAGCTCGACGTTGCACTCAGCTTCCAAATCGCATTGAATGGAATAGTCGAATCGCAGACATCTGCTCCGCCCAAACGTGACGCCGTCCCTTTGACGTTTGGTGATGGGCAACCGGAATTAATTGCGCGACGCGATGATTTTCTCATTTCGCTCAATCCTGTCTACCACCCTCATCTCCCAATCCCATAAACCCTACACGAGCTTTCGCATCATGAGTATACGTTTAAATAGGTTAGGATTCTTGCTTTCCCATTCTTGAACCTGGCCTAGTTTACCTTGAGTTGTCACTAACTGCGTCGCTCTTTGGTTTTTTGGGGGACTACGGTGCAATCTTCATTGGCCTGTAGTCAGATGCTCGAGTATAGTACTTTCGTAATTTGTCTCATCCATGCAGGGTTTAGGACCACAGGTTTTGCGATTTGTCGCGTTCTGATGCGGAGGGAGGGAGCTACTACTGCCACCTCTTAGTTTGGCGGAGGAAACCCTCGCTGATGGGGACACGCAGAACGCGACACGACAGGACGAGAAGGGCGTGACGCGACGGGCAGGGAGGCGCGACGGGCGCGACTCGACGGGATGGGCAGGGCGCGACACGACGGGACGGGCAGGGTGCGACGCGCCGGACAGGGAGGCGCGACAGGCGCGGAAGGACGGGACGGGACGGGCGCGACGCGACGGGACGGGTAGGGCGCTACGCGACGGGTAGGGAGGCGCGACGGGAGCAAGGGGACGGGACGAGACGGGCGCGACGCGACGGGACGGGCAGGGCACGACGCGACGGGCAGGGAGGCGCGACGGGCGTGAGGGGATGGGACCGGACAAGCGCGACGCGACGGGACGGGCACGACGCGACGCGACGGACAAGGAGGTGCGACGGGCGCGAGCGGACGGGACGGGATGGGCGCGGCGCGACGGGACGGGCAGGGCGCGGCGCGACGGGCAAGGAGGCGCGACGGACGCGAGGGGACGGGACGGGACGGGCGCGACGCGACGAGACGGGCAGGGCGAGACGAGAAGGCGCTACGGGCGTGGTAGGCTAGGTGCAACGGGCGCGAGCGGGTCAAGCGGGAGGAACGGGATCCAACAGGATCCTAACCTATGTGATACCATGTCAGAAACGGAATGATGTCTGTATTACTATGAGTTGGGGTACATATACCTAACCCTAACAACTGTACCCAACATGACATACAGGCTACAACATTTGACGAGGGGGGGCAAGGAGTTGGGCCAGGAACTCGCTACCATTATGTTTTCTGATAGAGGTCCACTGGAGATCCCCGATTGATCCTAGGGAAGGGTTACAGGCACGTCGGCCTGGGGGTTATGGGCGCACTCACCCGCTACACATACACTTTAATCCCAGTGGTTAGTGGCTGGGATTCTGACATTTTCTTTATTAGAGCGCGTTCGAAATTATGAATCGCATACTGTTTCACT